TGTTGACCATGACCTGTGAACCCGTCTTGACCAAAGAGTTTTCTGTCTCACTATTTCGAAAAAAAACCGCCATGAGCTAAATATAAATTCAGCGCATAAAAAACGGAAACAGAGTTTCTATATTCTGTAAACTCCCATTAATCATAAAGTCCAAAGTTCTACGGAAATACGTAAAACTGATGACCACAAAGGTGTTCTAGAAATATGCCAGGTGATCAGGTTAGGAGGCCATCTGGTCATGAAGATGACAAATGGGGTCAACTAATGAACAAGCCAGCGTTTTCTGGGAAAAAAACATGATTTATAAGTCACTTGGGGCTGCGAACAGCTGGTAATGAACTGGCAGCTGTGTGATGTAGTACGTCCGTCCCTTGACCCTTGTTATGTTGTAGTACCATGGGGTCACCCTGACACTTCATCGTGCCCCGTCCTTCATCACCGTCAGTGGCACCTCTTATAACACAACTCTGGTGATTAACTACGAACCTGCTGAAGTGTTTAGTGAAGTTAAATCTGTTATGAACATATGTCACAGTTTTATCAACAAATCGTAAATTTCTCCTCGTTTTGGAGACAAATAAAATTATCTTTTCCTGGATATTGGGATATCACGGTGGCAATTTTCTTTTTAACGAGTAGGGAGTGAGTGAGTTTAGGTTTACGCTGCTATTAGCAATATTCCAGCAATATCACGACGGGGGACACCAGAAATGGTCGTAGTGGTTAGAGCGTCCGCCCGGAGAGCGGAAGGGCGCGGGTTCGATCCCCGACCTCGTCATACCAAAAGACGTTTAAATATGGTACTTGTTGGTCCCTGCCTGGCCCTGGCAAAGATGGATACAACAAGGGCTGGTCGGCTTGGAGTCAGTATAATGTGTCTGAGTGGGATATTCATGCTTCACTGCGGCATGGTATCTCAGTGAGCTAGCACTATAAAACCAGCTTACGTCTGGGCTTGTACAAGCAGCCGCACATACACATACACACGCATGCATGTCGTATTGAGCGGAATATTCTTAACTACGACGTTAAACCCCATTTCACCTCACCTCTACATATACTACCGCAAAAGCATGTATAACGAATGTGCATTATGATCTAAGGGCTGTGGCGACTTTCAGTCACATATCCTATCCTGTTCTGAAAACATGATACATTATAGTCCGTTTGGCTCAAAATCGGACCGATGAATTACAATCTAACTCTAAAAGAACAACTAAACATATAATACTCAGTCAAACACTAATCATAATCAAAACATCAGACCAACTCTGTGCCTTTTTTGCAGAATTTATGTCCTAAAAATAAAAAAAGTTGTTTAACAAACTATCATTAAAATTTTGACACAGTTCACTATTTGTTACGAGGGAGGGGTGCAAAGAGAGGAACAGCCAGGTGTGCGAGAAAGGATGGAGACAGCACAGGTAAATGATTCAAGGGAGGAACAGTACTATATGTTTAGTAGTTTTCGAGTTAGACTGCAATTCATCGGTCCGATTTTGATCCAAACGGACTACATTATGAACAGGCTCTGCATCAGAGGGATGGGGATGTAATCGGATGAACTGTTTAATTGGCATTTTTTAGAAGTTGGTATGTGACGTCAGATCCAAGAACAAAAAAGTTGTCATCCAAAAAACCTTAACTAAGTGGTATCGGATGGATTAGAATAGATCCCTACAAAGTAAGTCGTGAAAGATTGATATTTGTCATTTTGCTGTTAGAAGTTGGTATGTGATAGTGAGTACAAGAATGAAGTTGACATCCCAAAAATGTTACCTTCACTGGTATGGGGTGGATTAAAATAGATCCCCACGTAAGTCATGAAATATTGATATTTGTCTTTGTCGGTTCAGAAGTTAGAGTTTAAAAGGATGTCAGATCAAAGTGTGTGCATACTTCTCTGTGCGGTTGATTTCGTTTCAAGTATGCGTAAAACCTCAAACATGACCTTGAAGATTGCATGTCCAGATGTAGGAATTGAAGCGGATCTTGCCCGTCTGGTACTTAGGGTTTAGATATAACGTGCTAATATCTAGTGATCTTGATTCGACTGAAGATTAAAGGAGGTGCACTTTATCTCTAAATATGAATCAAGATTAACAGACTGGATCACGCACTGTTGGTTGTTGCCTAAGGGCAGGCAGGACGGGCCTGTTACCTAATCTAACCTCGTGGATGAGTGATTGAGTGAATATTGTTTTACGCAGCAATTAGTAATATTCCAGCAATATCACGGCGGGGGACACGGACTTCACACATTGTACCTTTGTGGGGAATCGAACCCGGGTCTTCGGCGTTACGAGCGAACGCTTTATAGGTCACATGCAACGTAAACCACAACTTTGCAGATTCTGATACCTTTCGGTATGGACTTACAGATACAAATCATCAAAGATGCAAATTCCACTTATAAAGTTGAAAAATAGCGCGATGAAAAACACCCGCGAAATCGGAGTTCAAACGATTCACTAACTTCACCCCAGCGCTTGGGGTGAAGAGTGGTTTCAACAGCTGGGCTGCGCTGGGCTGGGCTGCACTCATAGCGCATGCGCAGTGAAATAGGTTCGCGCAGCTTGGAAGCGGGATGTCCGGATTTAATATAAGGTCGTGAGCAGGAGTAGTCTAATCAAAACAAATAATAAATAATCTACTCATTACATAAAAGAACCTTGTTAGGATCTAGATCTACTCAGCTATGTGTCAACCAGTGAGGTGTTCGACATTTCAAGACGGAAAACCTTCGCTGGCGGTGAATACTCGGTGAAGGCTTTGATGTGAGCTATTATTCTAATGTTTTGTTGAAATTTCACAGGCGCGAGCTTTTTATATGTTATGACAGTAGATTACCGATTTAACTGTTTATATAATTTCATTTGTCTTTTTCACCACACGGTCTTCTTACCGAGTCACCTTCTCAGTTCGATGTCATTGTTTAGCGTTGACAGAATTTCTAACTGTGATATAGATATGTCGTTGTCACAGACAAAACTCAATGTCTGTTTTATTGACACCTATGTGTCTGCCTGCCTGTCTGCTAATGACAATATCAGGCTCTCAGTCTATACACCATAAATAAAACGCATTGATTTATGGCCCGAGTTCGGTCTCTGTCACATTATGTAATTACACAGACAGGCAGGTGTGATACTTGTACACATGACATGTTATGATGTCTGTTGATTGCAAAATGTTATACACAAAAAATGAGCATGTATTTACAAAACCCAACATCTCTATATACACACACACAATCAGCCGTGAGGGCATCGGCAAATGAACCAGCCAATGAAACCCTCTTTACACTTGAGTGCACACCACCCGCTCTGACTGGGTTCGGTATCCCGGGTGCTTCGTTTCGAGGGAAGAAAACCCAAGTACAAAATATTGCACTTTTGATTTGCGATTGTACGCTTTAAATTTGTTTATATGTTTATATGTTTTTTCATGACATTATATGTCATGAATAAGTGATAATTGTGCTTTAATTATGTTTCATGTTTTGGTTGCATGTGACCTTTAACCACTAGGCTACCCCACCGCCCCTTTAACCTCGTGGTTATTCCACTGTGTGTGTCGCCTGATTACTAATGAATGAGTACGTTTAGTTTTACTCCGTTTTTAGTAATATTCCATTAATATCACGGCGGGGGACACCAGACATGGGCTTCGCACATTGTACCATGTGGGGAATTGAACCCGGATCTTCGACGTGACTAGCGAACGTTTTAACCACTAGCCTACCTCACCGCCCCGATTATACTGAAAACAATATTACCTGGTCAGACAAAACACGTAAATTGAAAGTTCTTTTCATTTTAATGCTTCATTGCCTGTTGAGCTGTCAATACGTTATCAACTTTCTGGTGCCTCTGGAAAAAAAAACAAATAAAAATCTTTTGCTAGCAATAACAACTAAAGTCAGTAAGTCACTAACCGATTGGTTGTAATACGTGTTATATTTGGGATTACACTTTATCAGTAAAGTGCAGATTCTAGTACTCTTGTTGGATGGAGTTCCAACCGAGATTCGAACCCACACACTCAGAGTCAGGCACCTAATCGTCCCCAACATGAAGACAAATATGTCCCTTGTAAAAGATCTAATTAATTATATTTTATTTGACGTGAATGAGGGAGTATGGTTTAATGCTGCTTTTAGCAATATTCCAGCAATAACACGATCTGGGATGCCTGAAATAGGCTTGATACATTGTACCCATCCGAAGAATCGAACCCGGGCCTTCGTAGTGACGAAGGGATAATTCAACCACTGGGCTACCGCCCCGATTTCATTAGAAAACATAGAGAGATCATATGTATGTAGATGAACTATTCATCAACATTTCATCTTGAAGTTTGGCGAAGTCTTAACAGTTAAACCCGTGAAGATCCGGGTTAGAATTGATCTTCAGTTCCATGCGTGTCGTAAGAGGCGACTAACGGGATCTGGTGGTCAGGCTCGCTGACTTGGTTGACACAGTCATGTCATCGTATTCCAATTGCGTATATGCTGTTGATCACTGAATTGTCTGGTCCAGACTCCATTATTTACAGATCGACGCCATATGGCTGGCCATGGAACATTGCTGAGTGCGGCGTAAAACTAAACTCACTCACGCACTTAACAGTTAATGGCTTTAGGATTCTTCTGAGAACACGAAAGGATGATTAAAATTGCCCATCGTAGTCACAAAGATGAAGAACAAATTGCTAATTTAGCAACGGATATAACCGGTTCACGCAGGTCTTTATGTATAAAATTACCGTGATGTTATTATTCCAGCTTCTTGCATAAATATCGTTGTAAACAAGCTTCAAGTGTGATTGACAGAGGGTCGCTTGGTGTCAGTAACCAGAACCCTTACTGTGGTGGTATTTTCAGACGTTTCCAATCGGCACGAGTTACCGTCGATGGGTTAGACACCAGTGTCACATGCAAGGAGTAGTTAGTTATGTCTTCCCGTCACAATTTATTAAGATAAATGGGTTTCCTGTCTTCAATAGACCACGAGAGTCATACGAATTCATGTAACGGAGCGGAACCCGACTCGGCGTCTCTATCGATTACCCTCTTGGCATAAACTTATTCCGGTGTTGGCCAAGCTATGTTCTTTGAATCTCTAATACTGACTCAGGCCAGACTTATCCTCTTATGGTTTACGGACGTATGACCTAAATGTTCTGGAGGTCGAAAAACTAATACATTTTAGAATATAATAGTATATATTTTCTCTCGTGATTTGTCATAACTTTTGAATTTTGGAATACACTTTTTTAAGTTAATATATTTTAGTGCTGAATAAAAGCGACAACAAATGAAGCGTTTTGAACATTTTACGCATACTGATCGGCTGAATAATAAAATTAGAATTTTGGGGGGGATTTATTTTTATGTTTTTATTTTGTTTGTTTTGGGGGTGGGGGTCACTTCTCAATATTGTTGGGTCTGATGGATTCATAAACCAAGTTTGGAAGTAGAAGTCGTCAATTCAGCTGTTCGAAAACGCGGAGACATCCACCATGCAACTCTAAGACAATGGTTCAAGTAAAACAGAGAGTTCATTGTGCCGAGACACACGTGAGACACCCTGACGTGTGTGGCAAGTCTACTTCTGTGAAGAAAGTCTCAGGGCTCCTTTTCATTATATTTTTTTTTTTACTATGAACTTTTTTCAGTATATGTTCGAGACTAGTTACTAGTGTTACGATCTCGAGATACAGCTGATCACTGAAACGACACAGGAGTGGACAGACACTCGACATCCGTTCGAATTAACCACCTTAGAGATAAAAGGGGACCATTACATCAAAACGAGAATTTTCAGATTAGAGCGGATGTAGAAATGTGTATGCAAAACTGAAAACACACAGTAGTCGACGTCTTCTAGTCACAAGGGTTAGAAAAGTTTGCTCTAATGCGTTCAGTACACTCTGAAAGTCCGGATCAGTCCGAGTTGTGGGACCAAGGCATGACGGATAGATCGAAGAAAGACTTTTCCGTGGGAGGGTGACATACCATTATTGGCATGAGTATACTTGCATTATGCTGTGATTGCTGTTAGAGTCGACTTTTTGTGTGCGTGTGTGTGTGTGTGCGTGCGTGTCAGTGAGCGGGTGTCCCCGGTGTGGGTGTGCGTGCATGCGTGTGGGAGTGATTGACGAGTATCCGTCTCTTACGTTAGAGTTTACTACTTGACGTGCGTACGTGTGTGTGCGTGAGTGCGCGTGTGATTGACAAGACTGGCACGAGGAGATGGAGCGTTGCTCATTATATCACTCTCTGGGTGGTATGTGTCATGTGTACAGCCCACATTAATGCAGCTGTTATGATGCTGATAGTGGCGTAAAACACAACTCACTCAACACTCACTAAATCACCATGACGTACAACGTAAAACCGCCATTATAAATCTGTACTGATGAGGTAATTATTTCTGCTACCTTCAGGTATCTACTGCAACAGAACATGGGACAACATCACATGCTGGGACGACAGCCCCGCCGGCGAAATCGTTCAACAACCCTGTCCGGCGTACATCAACGGCTTCGATCAAGGAGGTAAGATTGTTAACAGTATAGCAAAGGAAAACAGTCATCAGTCGGATTAGATAAGTATGCACTTGAAAACAGGATTTGACTAAAACACAAACATTATGAAAATGCTAACTAAACGCTGTTTATCCACGTTAAATATAATATGTGCCTTCCAACAACTGGCATGTGTCATATCCACAAGAAACGCATCAAAAGGTATGTGCATTTCTTTTGTTTAGCCTACTGTTTATGTTTTGAAACAACAACAAAACCGCCTAAAATACCGATTTGTTTTTCATTCATTGTCACATTCATGCAAATGCACGTGACAGTTGGGGATCAGATAGTGTCAATGATAAAAGGTGATCGCTGTCTGAGATTATTCACTGTATTTGGAATATTGCCGACGAACGCAAAATGCCACGTCTAAGTGAAGCCAACCGTCATATCGCCATTGGTTTGCTTGAAGCTGGCACAGTCTCAACGAGCTTGCCCGACGCATGAATGTTCACTAAAGCACCATTTCACGGCTCTGGGAGAGATATCGCCGGCAGAATGCGGTAGCAGATGCCCCTCGTAGTGGCGACCTCGAGCGACCACTGCGGCGCAGGATCGCTTCATCCGGGTACATCACCTGCGTCATCGAACAGCTACGGCGACCAGTACCGCTCGACAAATACCCGGATTATTATTGAGGATTATTCCGTCAGGAACAGGTTGAGAGAGGCTGGTTTAAGTGCCAGAAGACCTTATTTTGGCCCTGTGCTTCGACAACAACATCGTCGACATCGAGTTCAATGGTGCACCAACGTTCAGGCCTGGAACCTACCGAATTGGCGTAGAATCTGGTTCAGTGATGAATCACGATTTCTATTGGAACGACGCGATGGAAGAATGCTGGTGTACAGACATCGACGTGAACGTTTCGCCGACGCTTGCGTTCCCCAGGTGGACAGATTCGGCCGGGGAAGTGTTATGATGTGGGTGACGATCACCTGCCGTAGGAGAAGTGATTTGCAAGGGCAACCTGACAGCTCAACGGTACTGTGACGAAATCCTACGCCCACACTCCTTCCAATCATTGATCGCCAGAGGGAGTTGTTTCAACAGGACAATGCCAGGCCCCACACAGCACGTCACACTGAGACTTCCTCCAGAACCACAACATCAATGTGCTCCCCTGGCCCTCAAGATCACCGGACTGAAACCCGATCGAACATCTGTAGGGTTCCCTGACAGACGGCCGCCATATACCCCGTAACAGTCCCAGACTTCAGCAACTCGCACAGTACAGGCAGAGTGGGCTGCGATTGGGCAACACGAGATTCTGAGACTTATTCGTTCGATGCCGAGGCGATGCCGTGCAGTTCTGGATGCCCACGGTGGTCACACGAGGTATTGACTTCAGCGCCACCACACGTCTCCATGTGACACTCAAACTGACTTTCCTCGAGTTGGTGCCAAAGACGGATAAGTCTGCATTCCCAGTGTGCAATACAGTTGAAATTCCTATATGCGTTTCTTTTTTGGGAGAGTATACAATGCAGAGTTTAAGACAACATGATCTTGAGAGCACTTGCAATAGTGAACTGTCACAGTTGAAAATGTTTCGTACTGTTTACATACTATTTTCATTATAACTCCGGTTACCCGAGTAGGTCCAGCTTAGAATATTGGCCTTCAGTAACCCATGCTTGTCGTAAGAGGCGACTAACGGGATCGGGTGGTCAGGTTCGCTGACTTGGTTGACACATGTCATCGGTTCCCAGTTGCGCAGATCGATGCTCGTGCTGTTGATCACTGGATTGTGCAGACTCGATTATTTACAGAACGCCGTCATATGTCTATAATACGGCGTTAAACAGAACTTCATGTTTACATACCGAGTACATCAACGGTGCCGTGTTTTTCATAACCCTTAAGGAGCTTACCAACATTTGGAGTAGGAAAGGTTCCCTCGCGATTTCTTTCTTTTCACATAAACAGTCTGATAATTACACTGGAGACTCCTACAGTTTAACTATGTATTGGTAATAGGCTAGGAGGTGACAGTGATAGATGAGCCCGGGACGAGGTGAGCACTTCTCGGAGAAGAAACTTGTCTGCTGAAGGTTTTACAGAACTCCGGGATCTGCATGTATTCAGTGAAAGACAATCTATGTTATTACGAAAGAATACACGTGATGGATTCAGGGCTAATTTATGAGCAGCAAACACAAATCAAGATAGATAATTTTGAAAGGTGGTGAAATTGGATTTTCAAGTCATGGTCAAGATTATTGTACTTTAATGATGTGTGTGACTACATGAGTGTTAGAATTGGTTTTCAGCAACCCATGCTTGCCGCGACTAATGGGATCGGGTGGTTGGGCTCGCTGACTTGGTTTGACACACGTCATCGTATCCCAGTTGTGTAGCTCGATGCTCATGTTGTTGATCACTGGATTGTCTTGTCCAGACTCGATTATGTACAGACACAAACAAACAAACATAATTTCATGGTTCAAAATGCTATAAAATTAATGTTTTAAAACTACTTATGCTTTCAGAGTTTGCCACGAAGGAGTGTCTGCCTGACGGAACTTGGTTTGGTTTCAACGGCAGCGGCAGGCCATGGACGAACTACAGTACCTGCAGCAAGGGGACACTGCAACCACTGCATCACCTCATCACGGTATAGTACAGACATATTGAGTTAGCCCACAAGGTTAACCGGACATACAAAGAAACACCTGCAGGTGTCCTCAGAATTCAAGTATTCAACATGGTTCAATATGTTTGCAGGCCGAAATCGCAATTCTATCACCTTTGCGTTTTTAACACTTTCAGTAAACACTATGAGTATTCTTTGTAATCACAAAACTCTTCCGAGCAAGAACCTTAATCCCATGAAAAAATCGTTCCTTTTCTATTGTTTTGTGGTTGTTTGTTTTGTTTTGTTTTGTTTTTTTGGGGGGGTAATATTAAATTGAATATCATATAGGGACAGGTCATATAATGTAGGGGTTGGTGGAGATGCAAGCCAAAATGTTACACACAATATGAAGTTGGTTGGTTGGTTTATCAACGCCGCGCTCAGCAGTATTCCAGCTATATGGAGGCACAATATGACGTAGGAGTTGGAGGTGGAGGGGTTGGAGATTGTGTTAAAATATAAATGCAGACCTCATAATAGGGCCAGTCCCACTGTATTATAAAATAAACAACTTAGGATAAGATAGATGAAGTCAGGTCAGGTGAGATGAACTTTTTTCGAACAAAAATGTGCCTGGAAATGGTCACAGGGTGGAAATAACCCATTGCCCGACGTCCGAGTCCAGCGTTTTTCTGTCGGACAAGCAAATTTGTATATCACACTGTACCGGTGTCCAGTTGACTTTCTAATGTTAATTATGCGTTGTTTATTTAAAGAATCAACAAGAAAACGGCCGGTATAGCGGAAAAATCATCAGGGCAAGTGATTTTACATGTGCCACTGTACCGGAGCACACTAGCAATTTTAAAGTTATTTCCACCCCTGGGTCAGACCTTTACGTTACTGACGTTCAGAGAATGGAAGCTCTTGTACGCCAACGCTAACGCCAACATACACATACACACTGACAGTCCGAATTTGCCCAGTTTCATAGACTGGCGGCAGTCCTCGACGTTAAGTCTGTTATCTAAGTACCATGGAAATTGGAAAGAAATTCTCCACCGAAAACTGAAATACTAATCCCGCAGAAAGTACATATGAGAAAAACGGATACTATTTATTGACAGCTCGTGTATTGGAATTAAATATCTGGAGGCATCGTTCACGTGTGGCAGCCCCATATATCATACCGGTCAGTACCTGTGTCAGCTTGGGTTCCTGTTCTTTATTGTACTCTTACGTAGGTTACGGTTTGTTGTTTTGGTGGTGCTGTGGTGGAATTGGGTTTAACTTCGTGTTTGAGAATATTTCGCTCATATGACGACGTGCATGCGTGTGTATGTGTATGTGCGGCTGCTTGTACTAGCCCAGACTTAAGCTGGTTTTATAGTGCTAGCCCACTGAGATACCATGCCGCAGAGAAACATGAAAACCCCACTCAGACACATTATAATTACTCTGAGCCGACCAGTCCTTGTTTTACCCATTAATGCCGAGCGCCAGGCAGGGACCAACAAGTACCATATTTTTGGTATGACGTCTTTGATCGAGATGACGCGGTCTTCCATCGAAGGGCGCGACGCTTCCGTTACTCCACGGAGGCGGTGGGTTTGTTGTTTAAAGGTAAATAACGTCATTAGTTCTTCCGTTGCGACAACAGTTACTCCAGTTGTAAGGCCTGAGGCGGTGGTTGTCATGTGCACTGAGCCCAGAGGCCTGTTTCGCAAAGCTATCGTAGCGCTACGAGTGTCGTAGCGTCTATGTTACTGTGAGGGTGAGTGAGTGAGTGAGTTTAGTTTTACGCCGCTTTTAGCAATATCCCAGTCATATGACGGCGGCTGACACCAGAAACAGGCTTCACACACTGTACCCATAAGGGGAATCGAACCGGGGTATTTGGCGTGATGAGCGACCGCTTTAACCATTAGGCTACCCCACAGTATAGTAGGTACGACAGTCGTAGCGCTACGATAGCTTTGTGAAACAGTACCCAAGTCACAAATCAGTTGGTCATGGAGAGTCCATGGATGGGTGACCGTGTTTGGCAGCTTGGTTCCTGAGACTTTCTGGAACGTCTGCCCTGCCCCACAACGAAGCACACGTGACTCATATAGTCTCACCCTAGGCTAGTGTTTGTTGAAAAAGTGCCTCTGTTCACCCAGCAAAATAATGGGTACCCGGTGGGATAAGTAATGTGACTATTAACCTTTTAGCACCTCACAGGCAGCTTGGGTTATCCGGGGTAATAATGTCCATCATGATGTTTGCGCTTAGGGCATGCCCGAGCGGCGTGGAGTTCAGCGCTGCATAAATTGTCTTAATATCCTAAAACATATTTACAGTATTTTATTACCCGTCCTTAAAACTGTTTCTGGCTCTGAATTTTTATGCAAAAAGTCAATGCCAGGGAATAACCAGTCTCAATATTATTTTTTACCGAAGGAGAAGCTGGGAAATTATTGTTTGAAGGCTTCAGGGGCGACTAACGGGATCGATTGGTCACACTCGACGACTTGATGAAAGTCATCGCATCCTGGTTACGATGCTCATGATGTCAATCACTGTCAAATTGGAATATTTACAAACTTCCGTCACATATCTCGAATTATGTTGAGTGCAATGTTAAAAAAATGAAGGTTCACAGATGTCAGTGTTGCTTAAAATTCTTGAACAACGTCTGAAATAGGAATTTAGAGCAACTTCTTCACCATTTCCTTTGGCAGAAGCTAATGGTGGAACGAGATATGACGTGGAAGAGAGTTCATTCGGGTAGTGTTATTTTAAACCAGATATATGCTTTACCCATTGTATTTACAATAAAATGTGGGGCATGCGTGTTTTTTATAGGAGATACCAATCACGTTCTCTTTCATATACGTCATCAGTAATGCTGTTTGAATGACGAGTCATCTCCACCAGAGCGATATGGTTATTTGTGAGAATTTGCTCAGCATTATCACACGACGTATCTCACCATTCCAGGAACACATGCCGCGCGTCAAACTCATGTACACGATTGGCTACTCCGTGTCCTTGACCTTCCTGATTCTGGCCGTCGCCATTATGGTGTATTTCAAGTAAGTATTTTCGTAACGTCCATTAAATCAAACTTTGCAGAATCATGTTCTTTATGATAGAATTTTAAAGTATGAAAAAGTTGAATGGTACTGAATCGAAAAAACAACGATTGACTTTATGACCGGTCACGTGGTAATGTACCGTGCTTTTTTAATTAAAACAATAAAGAATGAGAATACACGTATATTTTCCCAACAATGTATATTAAATGTATTAAAAGGCAAGGTTATGAAAATAAGTAAAAGTAACTGGTCGTTTTGAAAGTAATTTAACTTTAAATATAAAAATTCATACCCACAATTCCCATGGCATCACTTCCTGTTGCCATCGTGTTTAATTTTGAAAATGATGATCTGGTATACATATTTTTTTCTCGACAAAGATGCAAAATCGAGACCAAATTATTATTAAGCCTAAAATAAAAAACGTGGCCTTTCTCTATGTATAACGTTTTGGTGCCAGCATCTCTGGTTTGGCAGGGCATCTTCATGAATGGAAGACGATTCTGACAGTACATTTTCTATTTACACTCCGCCACAGGCATGTTATATCCAGCAAGGATTTGTGTAGGCGGCGTCAGCAGGAATGGCTATTGTAGAAAGAGTAGATTACGTTTCCTGATCAGAGTTTAGTCGATGGGTTTTCTTACTGAACCGTTTTTTCAGACGTCTTCATTGCCCGAGGAACATGATCCATCTCAACCTATTTCTGGCCGTACTGGTGCGAGCTGGTATATCTCTCATGAGAAGCGTGCTGCTTGTGAATGACGTCGGTTTCCCCGGCGACGTCGCCGTCATGCCGTCTGGACAAATCATCTTCCTGGATGGACCGGTAGGGGTTTTAGTAGTGCATGCCTTCAGGATTGAGGGCGGTGTTTAAAGCGTTCACTCGTCCCACAGAAGACACGGGTTCGATTCCCCACATGGGTACTATGTGTGAAGCCAATTTATGGTTTCCCCCGCCGTGTTATTGCTGGAATATTGTTAAAAGCGGCGTAGAACTAAACTCACTCAGTCCTCCAGGGGCAATTCATGGCAAATACTATGTAGTGGCTATTTAAAAAAAAAAAAAAGGTTAATTGAAATCTGAAATGTGTGTCCAGTGTTGTTTTTGGACTTTTAGAGAATGACGTAATAGGATTTATTTAAACAATATGACACAAAACGGCTAACGAAGTGTCAATGATGTGTTGGTTGTGGATTGGTTGGTTGACGTGGAAGAGGGTGACTGAGTTTGTAATGGCTTCAACTGATAACACGTGAAGACCTGGGTTAGAACTGGTCTTCAGTAACCCATGCTTGTGGTAAGAGGCGACTAACGGGATTTAACAAACACCTACTGCTGTCCTAGAGCTACGATCGCTTTGTGGATCCTGGCCCAGGTCACTCTGACATACGACATTCGTATTGTGAAAGCCCCGTCTGTAATCTTCAGGGGAACCCGTGAAGATCCGGATTGGAATTGATCTTCAGCAACCTGTGCTTGTCGTAAGAGGCAACTAGCGGGATCGGGTGGTCAGGCTCGCTGACTTGGTTGACATATGTCATCGTATACCACCTGCGTAGATCGATGCTCATGCTGTTGATCACTAGATTGTCTGGTCTAGACTCCATGATTTGCGTTGGGCGTTAAACCCAATTCACTCAATCTCTCTAAATCAATCACTCAATATAACGATGTCATTTACTCTTTTGTTACAACATCACCTATTACCATGGATTATATTAATCATACGCCAGTATATTTTCTCGTGCTAGCTATACACGTTCTCTTGTAGGGATTGACGGCAGCCTTGTCTTTAAAGATCTAGCTCGTCATGTAATACAAATGTTTGGATAAAAAAAGAACGAAAAATATATCAAGCCTTTTAGTGTCGCTTCAAGATGCGAAAATTTTAAAATCATCCTTAACCGACGTCGAACATGTGAACTGGTGGCCATGACGTCTTGGTTCCTATAAAACAAAATGGTTGTTATATTCAGTGCCTAAACTGATATGTTGTTTATCATTGTCATTCCTTGTTTACAGCACTGGGAGTGCCGCTTGTTCTTCACTCTGTTTAACTACGCCATCATGACGAACCTGTTCTGGATTTTCAACGAAGGTCTATATCTCCAGCTGATTCTTTCAATATCCGTGTTCGCGGAGAAGACCAAGCTTCGGTGGTTCGTGCTGCTTGGCTGGGGTTAGTATGTGTTTTCAGTGGGACATTATAAAGTTAATGGGGCATTGGTGGCCCAGTTCTCTCAGGCGAAGCGGTTCGCTGTCAGGAGTTGCGTCCCTTTGACGCACGAACCACCTTCGTTGATTTGCCAAGGCCTAAGACAATAATTTTAGGGAGAACTCCAGTGCTAAATGATTTGACATGGTTTTGGAATACCTTAAGCTGAAATAAGGCTTGTTCTGGGTTATTTGTGGTTTGTTTGTTTGTTTGTTTGTTTTATTTTATTTTTTATTTTATTATTTTTATTATTATTATTTTTTTTTTTGGGGGTGCTATTTTTTTATTGTTTTTGTTGTTGTTTGTGGGGGTTTTGTTTGGTGTTTTTGTTTTGTTTGTTTTGTCTTTTTTAGGGGGTTGTTGGTTTTGTTTGTTTGTTGTTTTGTTGGGTTATTTTTTTTTGTGTTTTTTATGTAGACATGCGTTTTTAAATAAGATAACTGTATTTTAAGGACTAAATGTCCCAGATAACGTTTTTGGCTGTCCGCACCATACCTTTGTCGAAATGGTATGCCTCTGACACCTCTTAACACGTCACAGTTTAATTCTGGAAACCCAAAAGTCCAGAAACTCTCAGCACTGCAACTTTCTGTGTTTGACAGCTGTCATGAATATATGCTAAGGATGGAAAAATGGCCACAGTGCAGAGAGTTTCTGGACTTTGGGGTTTCCAGAATTAAACTGTGACGTGTTTCTTGTTTTCCTCCCACTTTAAAGGGGCGATGGGGTAGCCTTGTGGTTAAAGCGTTGATCATTACGCCGAAAAACCGTGTTCGAGTATCCACACGGTGTCCCCCGCTGTGATACTGCTGGAACATTGCTAAAGTAAAACCATACTCACTCGCTCTTAAAGTTATGGAATAATAATAATAAGCTATGTTTCCGATATATTTCAGGCATGCCGATATTATTCGTCATTCCATGGGCGATGGTTCGATTATATCTCGACAATACGATGTAAGTATAATTTCATGCTGCAGTGTACATTTTCCTATTGCCGTGTTTCTTTATACAGCTTTAATTACCGCTGCTGTCTTTTTTAACAGTTGGGAAAGATTGAAGATTGCAGCATGTGCTATAGGGATCAGATGGTCGGAACCCGTGACGATCCGGGTTAGAATTCATCTTCAGTAACCCATGCTTGTCGAAAGAGGCGACTAACGGGATCGGGTGGACTTGGTTGACACATGTCATCGTTTCCCTGTTGCGTAGATGGATGCTGATGCTGTTGATCACTGCATTGTCTGGTCCAAACTCGATTATTTACAGACCGCCGCCATATATCTGGAATATTGCTGATTGCGCTGTAAAACTAAACTCACTCACTCATTGTGAGTGAGTGACGTCACCTTCTTAACGAAGCTCTTTCAGCGAATGGGAAGAGGGTATGTATCAAAACCGAATCAAGTAAAATATATATGATGATTATCTTTGCGGTCTGTCCAATATATTTTTCTGTTCCCAGGTGCTGGAATGTACACCATGGCCATCCTAAGCTGTACTGGATCATCAAAGGTCCAATGGCAGTGTCGGTTGTAGTAAGTCATTTTGCCTCTTGACATGAATCAGATGTTTTTTAATCACAGGTAGCTTTTTAAAGTGTTTGCTCGTCGCGCCCTTATGGGTAAATTGTCTAAAGCTTATTTCTGTGCCCGTCTTGTGATTTTGCTGGAATATTTAAAAACGGTGTAAAACACCACTCACTCGCTTAAGACGCTCAGTGCTGAATGTGTAAAATGCGCTGATTGATATGTAAATCGTACGTTCATTTCAGAGATTAAAACTGTTCTTCAGCTTCTCCATCCCATTCCCATCCCCTTTGAACAACAGGAATCAATGAGATCCATTTAAATACTGCACACAATAAGTTTGGGATCATGACAAATTTGGGGCATATTTTTTTGTAGCTAGGTCTTAGCATACTATTTGATATACATGTATATACTCATGTCCCCAAATGTTTTTGTATTCAGAATGTAATTACTTTATGAAACATTTTGAATGACCTCTTTAGAGACATGTTCGAAACTATTTTGTCATTTGATGTAACTCCTAACGTTGTTATATTTTTTTCAGATCAACTTTATATTTTTTTATCAACATCGTTCGGTTATTGTTCACGAAACTCTCTGCGTCCAACTGCCACGAGTCTCGAACATTTCGATACAGGTAAATATGTCAATTGTCAGACAAGGAAAACTATAAATGTCGACAACAATAACGGAACTTACGTTAAAGGAATTTCATTTTCAACATTCAACTTAACCACAGGCAATTGTATAATATCATCGATTTTAAAGGGGCGGTGAGGCAGCCTGGTTAAAGCGTTCACTCGTCGCCCCAAAGACCCGGGTTCGATTCCCCATATGGGTACAATGTGTGAAGCCCATTTCTAATGACCCCGCCGTGATATTGCTAGAAAATTGCTAAACGCGGTGTAAAACTAAACTCACTCACTCACTCACTATCCTCAGAAACAAATTCCGTTTGGTGTAAACAGAAACATAGCTCTTGACAACATGTGAAAGGAAGCGTTCAACTGTCAATACACTAATTACTTGTAGTGTATATACTCAGCTCTAAAAGAAACTGAAACTTTCCGAAAGAGAAGATGTACAGATGTGTTATATCTATACTGGTACATGTGCCGCGTTATATCCAGACGAGTACACACCCTGAAAGAATTGGTCTTCTGGGTACCGATCCACAAAGCGTTCGTAGCGCTACGACATTCGTAAGCCTATGATGAACTATTGAGTTACGACAGGTCGTAACGTTACGAACGCTTTGTGGATCGGGCCCCAGCAACGCATGCTTGTCGTAAAATGACAAGACTGTGTCCCGATACACAAAGCGTTCGTAACATTACGACCTGTCGTAACTCTATAGTTCATTATAGGATAACGAATGTCGTAGTGCTACGAACGTTCTGTGGATTGGGATCCTGTTGTCCCTGAGCAACAAGACCTAGATGAAGTCAGTCTTGATGTCCTCAGTTTCAGTTTTCTGATTCTCCGAGCTCACTGAGGCTCTTCTATAGTTTAAAGAGAGATATTTCTGTCCATCAAAATTATATATACTGAGGGAAACAAATGAGGGAACACCACTTCATGGCGGTGTTCCTTATTTATTCTCAGATTTTCTCCCATAGCGCTGTTCATAGCTGGTGATGAAAACTGGAATAAATTAAAGGAACGCTTGAATTTCGTGTGTTCCTTTATTTGTTTGTCTCAGTATATATTCAACGCCTAATATCAGCGATAGTCAGACGTACATGCGTCTTGTCGTAGCCATACACATGTGTTGATCACGAGGTTAAACTCCCACCTCACCCCATATTGTTCCGGGAGGTGGGGTAGCCTAGTGACTAAAGCGTTCGCCCGTCACGCCGGAGACCCGGGTTCGATTCCCCACATGGGTACATGTGTGAAGCCCATGTCTGGTGTCCCCCGCCGTGATACTGCTTGAATATTGCCAAAAGCGTCATAAAATCATACTCACTCACTCACCCCATTTTGTTCCTGTTTTAAGGTGTATATGTTTGATCATGAACTATATAGACAGTACATATTGTGTCTAGACGCCTGGCCAAGTCTATAGTGATCCTGATCCCCCTGTTTGCCGTGTACTACATGGGCTTCATCTGGCTCCCTGAGGACCTCGGCACAACCGGCATCATCGTCAAGCTGTACATTGAGCTCGGCTTCAACTCCTTCCAGGTGGGTTTCAGGGTGGTCTTAAAGACTCTTCCGAGTGGGTTTCAGGGTGGTCTTAAAGACTCTTCCAAGTGGGTTTCAGGGTGGTCTTAAAGACTCTTCCAAGTGGGTTTCAGGGTGGTCTTAAAGACTCTTCCAGGTGGGGTTTCAGGTTGGTCTTAAAGACTCTTCCAAGTGGGTACACTTTACCCAGCTCGATGGTAAATCGACGGATCTTGAAGATTTTTCTAGGTGGATACGCTCTATCAATGTATGGTAAGACGACTGGTCTTGAAGACTTTCTAGGTGGGTGACCTTACCTGTAGCTCGACGTCTGGTAAGTCGACGGGTCTTGAAGACTTTTAGGTGGGTGACCTTACCTGTAGCTCGACGTCTGGTAAGTCGACGGGTCTTGAAGACTTTTAGGTGGGTCGATGGTAAATCGACGGATCTTGAAGACTTTTCTAGGTGGATACGCTGTATGGTAAGACGACTGGTCTTGAAGACTTTCTAGGTGGGTGACTCCTGTAGCTCGACGTCTGGTAAGTCGACGGGTCTTGAAGACTTTTAGGTGGGTGACCTTACCTGTAGCTCGACGTCTGGTAAGTCGACGGGTCTTGAAGACTTTTAGGTGGGTGATCTTACCTGTAGCTCGACGTCTGGTAAGACGACGGGTCTTGAAGACTTTCTAGGTGGGTGATCTTATCTGTAGCTCGATGTATGGTAAGACGGCTGGTCTTGAAGACTTTCTAGGTGGGTGACCTTACCTGTAGGTCGCAGTTTGGTACGTCGACGGGTCTTGAAGACTTTCAAGGTGGATACACTATATCTAGCTCGACGTCTGGCAAGACGACGGGTCTTGAAAACTTTCTAGGTGGATTACCTTACCTGTAGCACGACGTTTGGCTAGTCGACAAGTCTTGAAGACTTTCAGAGTGGATACACGATATCTAGCTCGACGTTTGGTAAGTCGGCAGCTCTTGGGGACTTTGTAGGTGGTTACACTCTATCTATCTCGACGTCTGGTATGTCGGCAGGTCTTGAAGACTTTCTAGGTAGATAGACTGTATCTCTCTCGACGTCTGGTATATAGACGGGTCTTGAGGACTTTTTAGGTGGAAATTCTCTACCTAGTTCGACGTCTTGTAATTCGACAGATTGTTAGCTATTTACATGTTGTGTAATTCACTCTCCGAATGATTTCGTTAACAACCTTTATATACACTGGTAGTGTTTTTCCAACAATTATGTTAATTTTCTTCACGGATTGTTAATAAGCATCATGTATGTCTATTCATGGCACTTACCCTATCGTTAAAAAGCAAGCATACACTTACGTCGAGGTAACAATGCAACTAAGAAGATATCTTAAATCTACCGTGAAACATTTGAAACGGGTTTCACAAAAAAGTAACGTTTTAATAACTTTTGTAAAATGTTTACTAAAATCCAATATTAGGCATATCGTTTATCTGGCAGTTTTGTTTGAGACAATCTTACAAATAAAGTTATCAGGCCGGAAGCGGGATTGAGGGAGCGTCTTTCGCCCTCTCAAAATATTTAATGAGCTTTCAATTTTACAATAGTTTGTTAACTTCAGCATTACAATACAGCGATAATCTAAAAACCTTATTATTTCAGCTGTTGGCATAAACTGCGTTTACCTCTCTTTTGCAGGGTTTCTTCGTCGCCATGTTATTTTGTTTCCTAAACGCCGAGGTGAGTAGAATACAATGTGGTATATTGGTTCCAACATTCAACATCATGGGGACGTGCTTATGGAGAGGATTTTGTTAAGTTTCTACTTTCAAACACATATTTTTCTTTGAAAGGGAAAGTAGGACACAATTATTTAGGACACCTTGGGAACGCCATTCTTTTAGACAAAACTGATTACATTTTTTCATATTTTTAAACAAATCACAGCCGCAGTAAGCGATCGCACTCGCACAGAATATAAAATGATCAGTGCCTATCCAAATTCCAAACAAAACAATCAGCTGATCATATCCTACAGACATTAAGTAGGATTGGTCTAAAATGAAAATATATTTCGTGATAATCTTCTATTCGGTAATAATAATTGAGTTTTCTGCATCACTTTTCTGTAGATCCGTGAAGATTCGGGTTAGAATCGATCTTCAGCAACCCATGCTTGTCATATGAGGCGTCTAACAGGATTGGGTGGTCAGGCTCGCAGACGTGGTGGACACATGTCATCGTATCCCAATTGAGTAGATCGATGTTCATGCTGTTGATCACTAGATTGTCTGGTCCAGACTCGAATATTTACAGACCGCCGCCATATAGCTGGAATGTTGCTGAGTGCGGCGTAAAACTAAACTCACTTGCCCACACACGTCTATGTAAATCGGAATGCATGTTCTGTATTTATCCCTGTTTGAGAAAACAAGATTTCACTCTATTTTCAATGGGCAGTTATCAAATACTTAATATTTTTGTCCGGTTTAGGTTCAAAATGAAATCAAGAAGAAATGGCAGCGACAAGTACTCCGTCGGGCGAGCAGCATCGCCGGCCGCTCGGCGGCGTCCGTCAACCACAAGAGTGCCAGGTTCCACGATCACTCCGTCATAAGGACGACAGCTGATTCCACGGCGGAACACAGCATGATACACGAACAAAATGGACATCTCACCCCGATATCCGAGGAAAAAGTGCCTTTACGAAAATCGGCCGATTGTAACGACAATAAAACCGGAAGTACGCTGCAAAATGGCGATAGTCATGCGCAGTGTGAACCCATGATGGGCGAAGACAGTTTTGTTTGAAAAGCTCTGGAAACAGAAAGATGCTTCTATTTTGTGACACCAGTTAACCAGTTGAGATGAGAACGGTTGAACATGTAGTAAGTATAGTCAACTGAAGATTATGTTTCCTGAAAAAAGTGGCTTTCTGATCAACCGGTTTCGTTGTGAGAATGTGCGTCCCGGTTCCACTTGTACCAAAATCAGCGTTCGTGTATATGACTATGAAACGTTTTAGCCTTGCGTCAGATAGATGGCCAGTGGAATGCCAAAAGATATTATCTCAGTAACGATAATGAGCATATTGTGAACAGGTCTTGAGTAAGACGTCAATCAAAGTATGGTGCTTGTAGTACGTCTCAAGTTGGACAGACACGAGTGTCGTTGAGCGCCGAATGGATGGTTGGTTTGCTTTAAGTTACATAAGACATTTCCCAGTGAGAATGTGGACAAAAGAAGCTCGAAGTTGTTTAGAGGAGTAGTTTGGGTGATAGGGAAGTGCACCGTCGTCAAACTGAAGGTTAGGACACTTCCTTCGTCAAACAAATGGTTGTACGCGTCATTTGTCAAACTGAAGGCTGAGACACTTCTATAGTCAAGCACATGGTTGGTACTCATCCCTTGTCAAACAGAAGTTTGAGACGCTTCTGTAGTCAAACAGAAGATTGGGACGTTTACCTGGAGAAACAGGATGTTGGGACACTTCCTTCGTCAAACAAATGGGAGGCACACGTCCCTTGTCAAAGAGAAGGTTAAGACACTTCTATAGTCAAACAGACGGTTGGGACGCTTCCCTGGACAAACAGGAGGTTGGGACACTTCCTTCATCAAACCAATGACTGATACTCGTTCCTTGTCAAACAGAAGTGTGGGACCCTACCTTCGAAAAACAGAATGTTAGGGACACTTTGGTCCTTCTTTCAACAAATGGGTAGTACACGTCCCTTGTTAAATAATAGGTTGGGACACTTCTATATTGAAACAGGAGGTTGGGACACTTCCTTCGTCAAACAAATGGTTAGTACACGTCCCTTGTCTAACAGGAGGTTGGGACACATTCTTAGTCAAACAAATGGTTGCGACGCGTCCCTGGTCAAACAGAAGGTAAAGGACACTCCTTCGTCAAACGATTGTTTCTGGACGGAAATACGACACTTATGCGGACTAGACATTGTTTTGGTAAGCCAGTTGATTCAAAGGGTGTTTGACGTACCTGTGCTTACAAATATAAACAAATGCCGGTTCTAAGTCATCATCCCTAGTTGTCCAGTGTGTTCTACCTTTAGCTTCTCGTAGTCATTTCCCTGGACCCATTCACAGTCAGACGCGCCTAATGTGGATCGAGTGGACAGGTTCTGTGTATTGGGCGATTATCTACAAGACGTTGTGATACGGTTGCAGATTTACTCATTTACCGCAGTTTCGTTGGCGCAGTGACGTCACTTCCTGTTCATTCTCATAAGTAACATCCTTAGTATTCCTATTTTGTGTGAGGATAATTGAATTAGTCAGCTATTATCAGCATCTGGTGAGGCTGTGGTAGCGGATTGGTCCAGGATATGCATCATTATAGGTGAGGTGGGATTTATCTTCCAGCTCAAGATATACTGAGGAAATAAATACGGGAACACCACTCCAGTGGCAGTGTTCCCTTATTTATTCTCAGATTTCCTCCCACAGCGCTATTCAAAGTTGGGGTAGCCTGATGGTTGAAACGTCCGCTCGTTACGCCAAAGACCCAGGTTCGATTCCCCACATGGGTACAATGTGTGAAGCCCATTTCTGGTGTCCCCCGCCGTGATATTGCTGGAATATTGCTAAACGCGGCGTAAAACAACTCACTCACTCACTCACTCTTTTCAAAGTTGGTGATGAAAACTGGAAAATGTTATAGGAACGCTTGAATTTTCCTGTGTTCCTTTATTTGTTTCTCTCAGTATATTTGCAAAAATACAGCGACGTGCGTGTGCGTGTGTATGCGTTAGGATGATCGTACTTGTTTTGAATTAACTGCACTAGCCCAGTGGAATTTATCAACCACCGTTGTACATGGCCTCCCGGCTCAGACAAAGTCTACTTTCTTCGAGACTGGGGGCGGTGGGGTAGCCTTGTGGTTAAAGCGTTCCCGCGTCACGCCAAAGACCCGGCTTCGATTCCCCACATGGGTACAATGTGTGAAGCCCATTTGTGGAGTCCCCCGCCTTGATATTGCTGGAAAACTGCTAGAAGTGGCGTGAGACTAGACTCACTCACTCTTAAGACGACCACTCCACGTTTTCTCCCCGTAGTACCGAGTGCCCGACAGAGCAATGGCGTACCTCTACGATACATAGACTCCACCGTTCTGTGGGCGGACTCTTACCCAGACGATTCAGTAAAACCACCATCCATGATAGCCGTTGATCTCTGGTCATACATTGTAATACTTGTACCGCTGGAAGAAAGGTTCCAAATGTAAGACTGCCCGACAGAGAATTCATATGCAAACTACCAACATTTTTCATGATGTTAGACTCAGCAACTCAATTTCTTAAAGTACAATCAAATTTCCTTTGACATTTCTTTTCTGGCATTTTGTGGTAGGTGGGGATATTTTTTTTATTTTTTGAAAAATTGATTCCTGGATTATGATGACGAGAAATGTTACTCCGTCATAAATATGTCTCTGAACAAACTGGTGTTCTGAAACACGCACACACACATGCAAACACACGCACGTCGACATGTATTTTACTTGTGGGTCGTTAACCATTTCCTCATCAGTGTTTATGACGTGGTAAATCTGTGTACTGGCGTACAGAAAACGCAGAAGTTAGCAGTTTTTCAGTGTTCGCTGATCTGACTGTCATAATGCAAAGCATAATATATCTATACTTTGAGACATGTTTGACCTTGGAACAATTACCGTCGAGTGTTCGCGTGCATTTACATTGAAATAAAAGTCAGCTTTATTTTATAACACAGAGTTCAGTTTTGTCATTTGTTTCTCCAACGATGGAACCGGCCAAGATGGACCACATAATCTACAATCCATTCGCAAAACTTTGTGTGCAAATTCACGTTCTTATAATCTCAAATCCAAATATCGTCACATTACGGAGGGACTTTTCAACCGACCAGTCCGAGCGCTATTTTCCAGCTTTTATTTATTTGTTTATTTTTCTCTCTTTCTTTCTTTCTTTTCTCTTTCTTTGATTGATTGACCGACCGACCGTTTGTTTGTTTGTTTGTTTAATTGTCTGTCTGTCTGTTTGTTTGTCTGTTTGTTTGTTTGTTTGTTTACCATCAATGCTACATTGAGGGAAAATGATCTAACTCTCAAGTGTTAATCATGGCGGAGTTAATGTTGTTTTACACCGTATACATAGTCAACAACATTACAAATATATAAGGTGGTTTAATGTTGTTTTACACCGCATATGTAGTCAACAACATTACAAATATATAAGGTGGTTTAATGTTGTATTACACCGCATAGGTAGTCAACAGCAATACAAATATACAAGGTGGTTTAATGTTTTACACCGCATATGTAGTCAACAACATTACAAATATACAAGGTGGTTTAATGTTGTTTTACACCGCATATGTAGTCAACAACATTACAAATATGTAAGGTGGTTTAATGTTGTTTTACACCGCACATGTAGTCAACAACATTACAAATATATAAGGTGGTTTAATGTTTTACACCGCATATGTAGTCAACAACATTACAAATATATAAGGTGGTTTAATGTTGTTTTACACCGTACACATAGACAACAACATTACACATATATGAGGTGGTTTAATGTTGTTTTACACCGCATATGTAGTCACCAACATTACAACTACATAAGGTAGTTTAATGTTGTTTTACACCGTACACATAGACAACAACATTACAAATATATAAGGTGGTTTAATGTTGTTTTACACCGCATATGTAGTCAACAACATTACAAATATGTAAGGTGGTTTAATGTTGTTTTACACCGCATATGTAGACATTACAAATATATAAGGTGGTTTAATGTTGTTTTACACCGCATATGTAGTCAACAACATTACGAATATATAAGGTGGTTTAATGTTGTTTTACACCGTACACATACACAACAACATTACACATATATAAGGTAGTTTAATGTTGTTTTACACCGTACACATAGACAACAACATTACACATATATCAGGTGGTTTAATGTTGTTTTACACCGCATATGTAGTCACCAACATTACAAATATATAAGGTAGTTTAATGTTGTTTTACACCGTACACATAGACAACAACATTACAAATATATAAGGTGGTTTAATGTTGTTTTACACCGTACACATAGACAACAACATTACAAATATATAAGGTGGTTTAATGTTGTTTTACACCGCATATGTAGTCAACAACATTACAAATATGTAAGGTGGTTTAATGTTGTTTTACACCGCATATGTAGACAACAACATTACAAATATGTAAGGTGGCTAATCTTGTTTTACACCGCACATGTAGTCAACAACATTACAAATACATAAGGTGGCTTAATGTTGTTTTACACCGGATACGTAGTCAACAACATTACAAATATATAAGGTGGTTTAATGTTGTTTTACACCGTACACATAGTCAACAACATTACAAATATATAAGGTGGTTTAATGTTGTTTTACACCGTACACATAGTCAACAACATTACAAATATATAAGATGGTTTAATGTTGTTTTACACCGTACACATAGTCAACAACATTACAAATATTTAAGATGGTTCAATGTTGTTTTACACCGTACACATAGTCAACAACATTACAAATATATAAGATGGTTTAATGTTGTTTTACACCGTACACATAGTCAACAACATTACAAATATATAAGATGGTTCAATGTTGTTTTACACCGTACACATAGTCAACAACATTACAAATATATAAGGTTGTTTAATGTTGTTTTACACCGCACATGTAGTCAACAACATTACAAATATATAAGGTGGTTTATTGTTGTTTTACACCGTACACATAGTCAACAACATTACAAATATATAATGTTGTTTAATGTTGTTTTACACCGTACACATAGTCAACAACATTACAAATATATAAGGTGGTTTAATGTTGTTTTACACCGTACACATAGTCAACAACATTACAAATATATAAGATGGTTAAATGTTGTTTTACACCGTACACATAGACAACAACATTACAAATATATAAGGTGGTTTAATGTTGTTTTACACCGTACACATAGACAACACCATTACAAATATATAAGATGGTTTAATGTTGTTTTACACCGTACACATAGTCAACAAGATTACAAATATATAAGATGGTTTAATGTTGTTTTACACCGTACACATAGTCAACAACATTACAAATATATAGGATGGTTTAATGTTGTTTTACACCGTACACATAGTCAACAACATTACAAATATATAAGATGGTTTAATGTTGTTTTACACCGTACACATAGTCAACCACATTACAGCTGCATCACAGCAGCCTGAAATGGTGACATTTTATAATGTTGTTTGAACAGTATAGGTTGTCCAAAACATCAAACGACGATGGTAACACAAAAACTTAAAACGCCGACACATATAAATCGTATGAAAACATGTCTTTGTCATATAGCCCAATCAAACAATATGCGATGAACTGGTTGTATTTTTCTATATTTACTACTCAAACACAAGTTATAGTCTGTTTGCAGTAAAACGTACCGATGAATTTCACTCTAAACAAAAAGTAAATCGAATAAAGTGAAATTAAGATTGCGAATCCTCATAATTTTACCTTGCCAATTGAACATTCAAATCTCAGAATTTTATTCAACTTAGGATAAAAGTTGTTTAACAAACGATCATAGTTTCAAATCGCTATTATTGGTTTGTATTACAAGGTGGTATGCACTTTAAATGAAACATCGAGAACAAGTAGGGTTGGTGTGTAAGTTAACGCTCATCACGTACCGCACGTGCATTTGTTTCACTGTTCCATCTACTGCGTTCACCCCCTTGTAATACAAACCAATAATAGCGATTTGAATCTATGATCGTTTGTAAAACAACCTTTATCCTAAGTTGAAAAAATTTCTGAGATTTAAATGTTCATTTGACAAGGTAAAATTAAGAGGATTCGCAATCTTAATTTCACTTAACTTGATTTACTTTTTTGTTTAAAGTGAAATTCTTCGGTACGTTTTCACTGCAAACAGACTATAACTAATAATTTAATAATTTGAATGTTGTGTGTTT